TGGTGGAACTGGGGACTGAACTCAGGCCCTTGTACTTGCTAGGGAAGTGCTTATTCCACTGAGCCATCTCCCTGGCCCCCCAAAATAAAATTTTTAAAGGCAAATAAATAAATCTAGCATAAGCCCTAAGAAATACTGAACCCCTCAACCCCAGGCCCACATTGTTAGTAGGAAACCGGCCACTTCTCTCAGGGAGGACCCACCCCAGACACAGGCCTCAGTCACAGCTGACGAGCAGGTGTGTGGAAGAGCCGCCCTTTGGGGCTGGCTGGGTCCTATTAGGTCAGCCTTGGCATTATCCTGTTGAACACAGGTGATGTGACACAGTAGTGGTGTTGGATGAGGCTACTCCAGGGCCACCAGGCAACAGTTCCTGTTGTTTGGGGATTCAGCCATGTTAGATGACCACCGTAATAATTCAGCTATTAGAAACAAGCCAATGCTCTAAGTATATCTGATGTTGGGCCCGGGGAGATGGCTCAGTAGAATACACGCTTCCCTGACAAGTGCAAGAGACTGAGTTCAATCCCCAGTTCCGCCAAAAAAATAAATACATCAAAATAAATAAATAAGCATATCTGATGCCATAGGAAAGCGAGAACGTTGGGCCGGGCCTCTAGCTCCATGGCACGCGCCTGCTGCATGTGCACTGAGGCTGTGGGGTGCGGGCTGGGCACTAAGGTGTGGCACTTACCTGGTCACCCTCATGAGGCTGGTAGTCGAAGCGCAGCGGGGGACAGAAGGCCGCTGCATGCACCTCAAGCACCTTGGCCTTGTCACCGGGAGCATCTAGGGCCTCCAGCGCTTCCTCCAAGCTGCCCAAGCCCTGCATGTGTGAGGCCTGGCTGCGGCTCTCAGCGGCTGCAAAGCTCCGCAGCACCTGCCCCAGGGCCAGGTGGAAGCCGGTGTCACAGCACTGGGGGCGAGAGGCACAGAGGCTCGGAGCTGCTGGGGCGCACGCCCCGCCCCTGCTGCGGCCCAGCACACAACTCACATCCATGAGGTCCAGGATGTCGTGCAAGTAGTAGTTGCTGACAGCCGCGTTGACGCTGGCCAGGCTGAGCAGGTACTCGTTGCGCGCTTTCGTACACTTGAGTCTGTGCTCCAGGAACTTGGCCTGGCGCTGCTCAGGACAATGAGACCACTGGGGTCACCACTTACCCATGCCCCACCTCTAGCCTTGCAGGTCCAACTCCAAGAGGACCCCAAGTCTTGCTGCTGCCTTGCCTCGGCCTCAGTTATTCACCCGCCACCCACTGTCCCGCTGTCTGTGGACAGCAGAGGAGGTGACACAGAACTACCTATATGGGCTGGCCAAATGGCACAAGGGCTGGGGGTTCGATCCCCAGGCCTGCCGTGCCAGCCCCGCCACCAGGGCGCACTGAGACGGGATTGAGACTGGGCGTGGTGGCACATGCCTGTAATCCCAGCTCTTCGGAGGCTGTAAACAGGAGGATCACTATGGGTCCGATCTAGTGAGACCATGAACACCATGCAGACCCTTCCCTAAAATAAAATAAGAACTACCAAATGACAAAAAGCACATGCACACTTCTCGATGGACGCAGGAACCAGGCTGGGGGGCATCCAATCTGAGTTCCTTCCCTTCTCCATTCTGTTATGTTGGGCTTTTCTGAGACAGTCTCACGATCCTCCTGCCTCAGCCTCCCAAGGGCTGGGATGACATGTACATGCCACCACACTTGGCAACCCCTCCTCATTCTCTCTTCCAAGACACTCTGAGTGCCCTTCCTCCTCCAAAGTCCCCCAATTCCTCCTCCTGAGTCCTCTTGCCCCTCAGTGCCCCACAGGAATGTGGGAGCACCAGCTTGGAGCATGGAGGAGGTGGCATGAGGCCATCTGCCCCCAACTGTCCCCCTTCTGCCCCAACTGTTCCCCTTCTGTGCCTCAGCCTCCGGATGCCCCTGTATGTAACCCAGTGGCATTGTACAAGCTCAGGGATATGCAGCAGGCCCACCTTCTCCACCAACCGTCCCCCCTTCTTCACTGAGCTCTTGCGCTGTGGCCCAGCCTCAGTAGCACTGGTGAGGCTGGTGATGGTGGCAGGTGTGGTGGTGGAGGCGCTCCGGCCTGCTCTCTTTTCCTCCTGCCGCTCGGCTTCTCGGAGCTTGGCCTCTGCGCTGGCACACTCAGCACGGTATGTCTGGTACGTCTTTCTGGCCTGTGGTAGACCAAGCCAGGTGCCTACTGATGGCCACCACCAAGCCTGTCCCCTCCTGGGCCATTTGAGACTCAGAGCTGAACAACAGGTCCAGCCTCCCCAGCCACAGTCCCCCAAGCCCAGCTGGCCTGGGCACTGATTCTCCCAGGGGCGTGTGTGATGATGACACGGTGCGTCCCTCCGGCTGCTACGCCATCTGTGCTCACCGTCTGCAGCTCTGAGACCACTTCCAGAAGGTCACCCTGCAACTGCTGCCCCAGGTCCTTGCTCTAGAGGTGGAAGGGTGTGAGGGCCAGCTCAGCAGCTGCCACCCGCCTTCGGGGAGCAGCCCCACCCAGGCCTGGCACACACACACCTTCTTGATGATGCGCCCCACGTCCTCAGCGATGTGGCTCAGACGCTGTGCCAGGGGCCCCCCCAGCAACTCGCCCAGGGCTGCACTGTCCCGGCTCTGCTGTCGTGTGTGCTGCAGCAACACAGCCCAGCAGTGCAGGGGTGACAGGAGTGACGGCTCTTTCCTGGGGGACAGGGCACTCAGACCAAGCCCTGACCCACAACACACCCCTGCTGCATGCCCGGGCCCACTGCCACCTGACACCCACCGGAAGCTCTGCAACTCACGCCCACTGCCACCCAGGCGGCCCCCGCGGCTGGCCAGGCGCTCGGCCAGCTTGTCCAGGCCCCTCGAGTACTCTAGCTCCACCTCGGCGCGGCGCCGCGCAAATTCGGCCAGCTCCTGCAGCAGCTCCCGGCGCAGCTCGCCCTGCAGCTCCAGGCAGCGCAGCTGTTCGCCCAGCTGCCAGCGAATCTCTACAAGGAAGGAGAAGGACCGGAGGAGCTGCCCAGCCCAAGCCTGCACTGAGGAGGCAGTGCTCGGAGGCCCCTGGGGAAGAGACCAGGGTGTCCCAGAGAAGGGGAGAGCCGCGCAAAGGCCTGAGGCACTGGGACCGTGGCAGCTCTGGGGAGCTGAGACTGGTTATTTGTTTCTGCTCATTTGGTGGGTTCTGGTTTTCTGTTATTGTGACAGGGTCTCACTATGTAGTCCAGACTGGCCTCACACTATTACAGCCTGGGCTGGGCTTGATTTGAGAGTCCCCTGCCTCACCCTCCCAAGCACTGGGAGGCCAGGCTCCGATGCCACACCCAACTTGAAGCTCTTTAGGAAGGGGGGAACACAGGGCCTCCTCAGCCCCATTAGCAGGCACTAGGGTCGCCTTGGAGTTGAGATGGCCACCTGCAGCGAATGTGCAGCCTCAGGCCCCAGCACAAAAGGTGACTGCAGTAGACTATATGGTGGCACCTGGGAGGCTGAGACACGAGGGTGGAACGTTTGGGCCCAGCCTAGATAATTTAGGGAGATCCTATCTCAAAATAAAAACAAGAAAAAGCCAGGCATGGTGGCGCACGCCTGTCATCCCAGCACTCAGGAGGCTGAAACAGGAGAATCGCTGCTGGTTCGAGGCCAGCCTGAACTACACAGTGAGACCCTGTCTCAAAAAGAAGAAAGAGGGGCTGGAGAGATAGCTCAGTACAATAAGTGCTTGCCTGGCAAGCGCAGGGTCCTGAGTTCAACCCCCAGTACCAAAAAAGAAAAAATCGGGCTGGAGAGATGGCTCCGTGGTCTAAAGCACCTACTTAGAACAAGCTCAGCAAAGCCCAGGGACCGCGGTTCAATCCCCCAGCACCACATGCCAGCCAG